ATGTACATGTATTCTTGCCAATCTCAGTTTTCACTGACTGGGCAATGGGTATGGTCCCGAGTTGCAATTACAAAACGGCAGCTTTACCCACTCTGTTCCTGCTGTTTCTTCTAGGCAGTGAAGAAAGCTATTTTAGAAGACATGGTCAGACTGGGGAAAGAGGCTGGTCTTAAATCCTTTGAACAAGTGAGTACTTCCAAATCCTGCTTGTCATAAGCACCTGTATTGCTAATACAGTGGCTGAGAAGTCTGCGTTCCTGTTACTGACTGAGTCAGGATGGGACCTAAGACAGCTGCCCAGGACTGATTGAAGTAGGCAGTGAAACATTGATTGGCTGCCTGTCTCTTGACCAAGAGGAGCAATTGCCATGAGATGGAGTAGAGGCTCACCATAGGCTGCAGGAGCTGTACTGTAGTTCCAGCCTATCCTCTTGCTGTGCCAGCCAGAAGGAGTTTGACTTGCATCAAAAAAAAGTTTAGTTACTGGAGCTCCTGAGACTAAGTGAATTCTTGCACTGAGTTCAAGGAAGCTGGGAAAAAAATGTTTGTCCTTTAAACAATTATGTAAATGCCAAGTACTAAATTATTTTCTTTTAATAGGTTAAAGACCTGTACATTCACCCAGAGATGTTCACCGTAGAAAATGGACTCTTGACACCAACACTGAAGACAAAGCGAGCAGAGCTTGTTAAACTCTTCCAGAAGCAGATTGAGGCCCTCTATTCAAGTGTGCAGGAATAAGTGACTAATTTAAATTAAACTGCATGGAGTATCCAAACAAATGTGTGACACTACATGACCTATGGAGAACACATGCATGAGTGGATGGGAGCAAGGAGAACTTAGATATCTTATTTCTGGTATCCTGGGAAAAATGACTTTCAGGTGAAGATGGCTATAGTATAACTGACAACTGGCAGCATTCACATCTCGCAGGACTAAGCATCAGCTGTCTACAAAAGCCAGAACTCTTATCTTCTTTGGACTGTGAATGAAGTGCAAAAACACTCAAGAGCCTCAGCCTTTACAAGGCAGCTGTATGCACTTCTCACTGTCAAAAGCAAATCCTGTTTTCCTGCTCCGAATATGAACTCCATTGCTACCTTTTGTGGATTGATCTGCAGTCAGACTGAACTCTTTCATGTGGTTGCATGTTTTGGGTGAGAGGGAGATAGTTCAAAAACCAAGTGCAAGAAAATAACACTCGAGTTTCCACTCGGGATGCTATAATCCATCTCAACTCAAGCTGTCACAACATGAACTGGAGCTTAACATCTGTTCAGTGATTACAGAAGTGAATTTCCTGTTCCTAGCCCTGGACCACACAGTATAGGTTGTTTTTAATGAAAATGAGTAGTCTGGAATCAACTGGTTTACAAAGTGCATGTGTCTAAAGCAAACATAGTTCATACTCTGGTATGGGAGGCACTGGATCAGTTTTTGCACATGTTCTCAGATGCAATGGCAGTTATAAAGCCTCTACACTTACAAATTTGAGCCTGATAAGTGGAAAACTTTAGCTGTCATTCCTAAGGATATAAGATGCAATAAATAATTCTAACTGTACAAACCAAGGCCTGGGTGAGTGGCTTGTTTCTCTGCTGCAACCAGACTGTCAGCTGCAAGGTTTACTGCTCTCTGGTTATAGATCGCTGCAGCCAGAACACAACCGCTGCAGAAAGCTAACTTGTTTGCTATGCTGTCACTGCTCAGCCACAGCTCAAGCCATGAGGCAGTAAGATAGTGCCAGGCCTCTACTCAACTTCCCTTTTCTTGTAGTGACGCAATATGTGCCAAAGTCTTAATAATAAAGTCTTGCATAAATTCATTCTTCCAGCTCAGCCTATCACATGGAATAAGGCATCAGGTATCATTTTCTATTGCTAAAGCTCCTTCTTTAGAAAACTATTTAGGCAAGATGAGTACTGTCTCTATCTTTAGAAACATCTTCAATCAGTGCATGCTGTCTCTGCTGACAGTTCCTCCCTGTCGCCGTAGCAGTCCGCTGCATTGGTCCAAAAGGCAAATGCTGTGCTAACAAGGGTGTAACATGGGGGAGGAGTAGGGGTAGCTTTCCCCTGCCAATTCTCCTTGTCTGTGCCAGAGTCTTATGGTGAGTGGCTGCTCCTCTCTGTAGTTAATGCTCTTGGTCAGGTATCCCAAAATGAAAGCAACCAGTAGATTTATTGGTCAGGAAGGACCCAGCCCTTGCTGTGAGGCATCTCTAGCTTTGACTAGTAAAAGCAACTGATGCAATTCAGTTTCTAGTCTAGGCCTAAAGGCCTTGACATTTTCAGGTAACTGTTGTGTCACTTATTATGCTTGTCATAACCTCAGGCTATAAAGGCTTCCGACTCTGAAAGTGCGTGTAACTATGCTGCCCACCATTCCCTAAAGCAATGTGACTTAAAAGTTACTGGTGGCTTTTTTCCCCGGGATGAGACTGGGGAGAAAAAAAGGAACCAGAGGGACGAAGAAATGTATACTGAAAGTGGGTTTGGGTTCTGATGAGCAATTCAGTTGCGGACAGTAAATCTAGTGCAACTGAGATCTGTATAAGCTTGAGGCCGAATCCTGTGATGCCACCTGCTGCAGTGCCTGGAAAAAGTACTTTGTTTATTGTACCAACAAGTGAAACTTGCCTACGGCAATCTTCGTGGACGCGGAAGCCCAGCACTCTGTGGCTTCACTCTGCAAAGGATGGTCTCTTTGGCTTGGCAGCCAAAGTGAGGGCAGATGACTAGAAAGCAAAATTTTCATTGACTTGGTGGTCAAACAGGCTGCCCAAGATGTCTATTTACCATGGCCGGTATTGTTTGCTTTTACGACAGATTCTGTTTCAGTGCAAAAACTGCCTGAAGTAGGTGGCTATTTCTTATCAGCCTACTTCATTGTTTTCCTTTAAATAGGAGGGCAGGGTTCCACTTCTGTGTGCAGTTACCCTTACTCTCCGTCATACTGGAGCCTGAGCTAGGCTAGTGTGGCATTGCAAGTCTAGACCTGCTGTTAGATGATAGAAAGGGTGCAAAGGTCAAAATTTTACATAAAAAGAGCAATTCTTCCTTCAGAAAAAAGCAAGAGAGAATTTAATAGAGCTAATTGCTTTTTGCTTCCCCCAGACCTGGCTTCTCTAAGGATTTGAACCTAAAAGAAAATCAGCTGAATTCCCTGATGAATCACTGCAGAACACAGAACAGCTATGCCAAATCTGTACCTGCTCCTTTCCTTAATGAACAGAGGTCTTCCTCAAGAAAAAAATCAGAGAGTGGGGAATGAAGAAGAAAAAAAAGGTAGAATGGGATGGTAGAAAGGAAGGAAAAGAAAATCTACTAGTATTAAGAATCAGAGTTCCTTAGATGTGGTTTGTCAGCAATGGAAAGACAGCCAGCTTGTATTTTCTTGGCTGCAGAAGCCTTACACGCCCTTAGGAGGTACGCATTTTGTTTTGGTTGGTTGGTTGTAGGCAAGCACTGCTGAGTGAAGGTGTTGTAAAGGTAAATAGAAACACCAGTTACCTGTGCTACAAAAGGGAAGAGGTGGGAGTGAAGTTATGGCTACAAGGTAACAAGATGAGAGCAGAAAAGGCACATAGAGCCCATTTCAGATTGTAAGCGCACTTCTGAAGCAGAGCTCCTGGGCATGCTGTAGTTCAGCATGGAGTGACCTTGGTGTCCAAGATTCTGTTCAGATGAAAGTTTAAATCAAGTTGAAGATGCTCTTCAACCACTAAAAGATATCCAGTCCCCTATAAACAGACCATAGCTTAAATAAAGACCCCTCCTAATAGCTAATGATCACACATGGTCATTAGTGGTGTTAATCTGTTCCTGGCTGCTAATTGCTGCCTGCTAATACAGGTATCAGCTTGATATGATTAAATAATAATTTCAAAGTCAAGAACTTGGGTCCTTAGCTGCCAGATTCCTCCACTGGAAGACAAGCTTATTTTTGTAATCTTTGTTTGGTTCTAGACTCCAGCCACCGAATAGAAACTACTGCAGTTGAGACTAAGAGTACTACATGCAATTTGGAGGGTTTTATATTAGTTTCTGCTCATACCCCAAAGTAGCTACATCCTGCTGTCATGGCCTTTCAGCTCTTGCTAGCAAGGAAACTATGAGTATGATACACTTTGATACCTCTAGTGAAGCCTGCTTCTAGAAAATAAGTGCTTTGATTTCAAGAGGGACAAAGCACTTGTTTGCAAACCACTAAATCCGAACACTAACACTCCATTGTCACAGCTCAGAAACAGCCTGGGATTATGGCTCACCATCAGCACTAAGGCACAGCAGGCTGGAGAAAACAAAAAACTGACTTTGTACTGGACATAAAGAGTCTGAGTAGGAGCATACAGGAATAATGCTGGCTTGTCTGTATGTGGTTCTTTCTATATACACTTAATACTGTTTAAGAAATGCTCATCTGCCTGACACAACTCATGCAGGTGGAGGTAAACCAGGTATTAGTTTAAAACAGTAACCTGCAAAAACTTTCAACATGTGACATGCAGCAAGACTATGAGAAAACAAAACCACCTGCTGCATTTAGGATCCATTTAGAAAGCCTTCAGCTGGTATAGGTTACTCCATTTTAAGGTCTTCCTTCTAATAATCCATACCAGATATCAAATAAAAATGCTTTAGGAAAGGTGTTAGTCACTTGGTAGCAATTAGGCTCACAAAAAATTGTCATCCTTGGCACTACTGCGTCCTTTCACTCTAGGATAAACCAAGAACTCTAGTCTCTTGGGTACATGCTCAGAGTTCAGAGGGAGCAGATACAGCTAGTTATATTTTTTTTTGCCATTAAAAGCACAGAATACTCTTATAGCAAGAACTGGAGTCTTTCTAACCTTGAAAACCAACTTATAACAGTGAAATCTTTACTTCCCAGTTACTTCACATTCCCATGCCTATAAACAAGATCTTGTAGGTCTAAGAACAATTAAATCCACAAGTGAATTATGAATGTATCATTTATTTGAGGTGGACATTTCACATCATTAAAAGTCACAGGTAACAAATTTTATCTTGAATTTGAATCAGATGTTTATTTTCGCTTTCAGGGGCAGCTTCAGAGAAAGTAAAATACAAAAGATAAGCAGCAGGCATCACAGTCAGATGCAGTTGAGGAAAAAAATAAAATATGAACCCTCAGAATGCAATTTAAACAGCACAAAGAAAAAAACCTGACTTAGGATGAAAAAGATGAATCTTGAAGGCAATCCACTGAATGGCTTCTTCAATTAATTATTGTTAAAAAAAGTATGCAAACCATGGCACAGGCATATCCAACCCTTTCAGCTGTGAGGAAAAGAAAACCTTGTCCTAACATATTCATTGCATAAGTCTAAAGTAATACACAGAAAATTTCAAGTAAAGGATTGTGTTCTGAAGTAAAAATTCCTTTTCTTATTGAAAAAAAATGAGAAGGCTATCTGTTTTTCTTCTCTCCATCCACTGGTTGATCCGTTTCAGAGTCATATTGGCATTTTTCCACACATTTCCTAGGGAACCAGCCTCGTTCTCTTATTCCACCTTAAGACATGAAAAGTTGCATTAACTTGGAACAAAACATGACCCCACTATAGAGGAAAAACACAGGACTGCAAGAGACATCAAGAGATTACCTAGGTTATTTTCTTCTCCAAGGCAGGACATCCAAGTCATTCCTAACATCATTGCCTGGGGACGCATGGATTCTCTCCCACTGCCTAAAATGTTTTTAGAGATCTCCAAGGTTTTCCAGTGCTCTACCTTCCTTACCATGAGAAAATCTTTCCTAATACCCTATCTGAATCTTTCTGTCTATAATTCAAGATCACAAATCCTCTTTCTACACACCAGGGTCACCAGAAGCAGCCAACAACCTTTTCTACAACAGACTTTCATGTGGCTGATGACTATTTCTACATACCCTGCCTTTCTATCTCCTTTTCTTCTCCAAGCAAGCCATCCCAATTCTTTCAGCTTTCCCTTGTAAGTCACATTTTCTACTACTCTGGTTATTCTCATCGTTTTCCTCTCAACCCTTTACAGCTGATCTTCCTCTTCTTGAGATGCAGTAACTGCTTTTACTTGTGGCAGTATTTCAGCTGAGTCCCTGCCAACATTGAGTAGGATGGAAGGATTACTTCATGCATCTGGGAAGCTATACGCTTTTTTGCAAGTGTTGACTCATTTTAAGATTATGATTGACTTTTTCCCTCAGAACAACTGCCACTTAATCATTTTTTCCATCTTGTTATAGCACAGCTTGTTATTCCTGCCTATTTATAGCATTTTGCTATACATGCCTAACAAATCTCATCCTATTTTTGAAGCCTAGCTCTCCAAAATGCCAATGTTATTTTGAATTCTAATCCAGCCCCTCAGCATACACCAAGTTCCCCACCCAGACCATGTTTCACCTGATTTAAAAAAAAAACATTCAATATAGCACATATATCTCCTGCTAATCTTCATAACAAGCAATGCAATACAAACTATTACCATGTTCATTTCAATGACTCATTTAGGTTTGATGTTTGAAAGAGTTCATTGGAGTGAGCTGCCAAAGCACTTCTAGCCCATGAAGGTCTCAGACCTCCCGTGAAAAGCATGGACACTTTCAATGTAGTGAGTGTAGTGAGTGTTGGCTGCCTCTCTTTTGCCAACAGGGAATGTACATGCAATGAATTAACAACTGTTTGGAGGAGACAACAGAAACCAGCACACCCTCTGGAGGGTAAAACTTTAGCTCAGTCCTAAGCAGAAGGGCTAAAGTAAAAAATTTAAAAATTTCAATGCAGGTGGCTGTGATGTTGTCTCTCTGCAGACCAGGCAGGAGTCTTTAACATCTCTGATAGCTGTAGAAGTTATTTTGTAAATGCACATCAAAGTCCTTGGAACTGATCCCAAACCAAAGACAACTTTTTTTTTTTTTTAGATGTGCAAAAACTAATCCCAGGTCTTATACATATACGGGGTGTTTAGATAGGAAATCTGAATGTGTTTAAGACAGACCACTATTTAAATATCAAAAAAAAAAAATCATCATTAACCTCTTTAGAGTCTGAAAGTCTAACTTTTCTTAGAATATGAAGAAGTGTCCCCGTTCCCACTCAACCTTCCATGAACTACTATGTGAGTGTTCTTTCAGTCTGACAGATTCATTTAATGTTTATCAAAACTGGCAAGTCTACCAGATGTAAAGAGTAAAATCTGTGGATATGGTTTTAGAGGGGAGAGAAACTAATACCAATAAGGTCAGTCATTATACATTTTGAAAATTGAACATGTAATATTGTCCACATTTCTAGACAGCTATAAAATTGATTTGTAATTTTCTACAGGAAAAAATGAAAATAACTGCTTCATACCATCAGCAGCTGAGTCGAGAATCTTCTCACCATACATCCAGTGTCTGGGGAAGAAAGCGTAATAGGTAATTAGATGCCAGAACTCATCTCAGCATTTCTTTTAATCAAACATAAAGGTGTGGAGCCACTAACTTTAAGCCTCTTGTGGCTAAAATCAGATCCCCTTTACTCAGTGCAATTCTAGGTTCTTCAGTGCACGGTGTTGTGAAGAATGTTTCAACACCCTTAGTCACAGGGCAGCAGACACCACTGTAATCTTCCACTGCTTGATACCGCACCTACAAATTTGAACAGAACACAGCAATGTATTATTGTAGGGAGTTACAGCCTTGCTGACAGTTTCATACAAAAAAAAAAAAAAAAAAAAAATTCAAGCATACTGTTAGATTTGAGCGTAATGACAATGGCTGTCAAAGGGACTCTAAATTCTAAATTAACTGCTTACCAATGAAGCAGAGTCATCCTTATTATCATGTTTCTTACCATCTGGAAACTAAGGAGCAAATGCAAAGAAAGCTAAATGCTAAGTTTAATTAAGCAGAAGTTGCAGCACACTGTTTGTGTGGAAACACAAAGTCTTTATTTAATTGCTAAGTTTAAAATCAAGAAAAGAAATAGTTTCAGCAATTACTTGTATTTATTTATACCGATATTTCAAAGTCATTTCAGACCAAACTTCACAAATACTTACGCTTCTTACTCGCTTGTCTGCTTTCTGTTTCAGTTGCTCTATCTATAAATGATTATAAATAGAAATTTAGGCAGTGTTTAGTTTAAGAGGACTTGTGTATTCAACACAAAAATAAAGCTAGTTATTGAAACCATTCAACACACAGAGGAAACATCATTGATATTTAAAAGCACTCACAAAAGCAGAACTTTTTAGTCTATCAAAAATGGGAGAACATTTGACTGAAGTCCTGTTTCTTAAGTGTATGTATTACTAGTCAGTCTATTTCAGTTATTTAAAAAGCTGGTACATTACTGCAAAGGAAAGCAAGCAATTGGATAGCGGGGAGGATTAACTTGAGACCTCACTCAAGATCAATTACCGTCAAACTGTACTGATGACAGCCATCTCTTACTGGCCAATCCAGGCCATCTCCCTCAGGAATTCCGGACCATGTAAACACTTGCTTGAAGTTTTTCCATTTACTTCCCATGTCATAGGGAAAAATAAAGATCTCACCCGTTTGGTAGTACTGGATTCTGTCTTTGGCCTGGAAAATAATTAAGAAATACAGTACATAAAAACATACCCTACAAACTGCAATCCAGCAGCAAGTATTAAAAAGGCCAGGTCATAAGTCCTGTATGGGTCCATGAGACCTAAAAGCAAACATTTTGGGGCAAGAGCAGTAAATTCCTGCTATACTAACACAGGCTTTTAAAACTACTTAGAACAATTGTGGCGTTTAGAAGTGTGTCTGGCTCAGGTCCCACACCATTTACTCTTTAACAACAGAGCCTACTGGCTACACCGATTAATCCACTCCATGCTCTGATTTTATTTTATGGCCTTTTTTAATGACTGATACCTGACTATTTCTCAGTTACATACAAAGGCTTCCACAGCTCAGGATTGTTTGATTAATGATCACGAGCATAATTCAACATTGGAAGTATCTATTCCACCTCTAAGAATTGTGTATACAGGCATGCTCTGATCTCCCACATTCTGCAGTCATGAACTTTCATTCTTTCAGTAATGGTGACATCTAGTGGAGCAGCCACAGAAGAGTTTGTTCTCTGTTGCAATAATGCTGTTTTTATTAAACACTTATGTATTACAGTCTGTGTTCAGTTTTCAGAAGGGACATATTAGCAGCCTGTGTTTTACAGTAAGAATTTTAACAGATCATTCCAAATTCTACTGTATAGTTGTAACAGGGCTTGCTTTCATTCATGTTCCATTGTCCTGTTATTCGAAGGCCTATTAGGATCCAGCTAAGCTAGATTCCATGCCAAGAGAAGCATTACAATACTTCGGTACTTATACACAGTCAAGATCCTCATGCTAATTTTGACACAGAATAAAAGAAATACAAGGTAATAGTGAAATGTTTGTGGACTTATACAAGATAACCTGGTAGCACTGAACTAGTTTCTAAACATTGAGTCAGTTTTGCTTCCTTCTGAAAAATCTTGTGAAAACCTCTATAAAGATATGGAAATCAAAGAGAATTTAAAGGAGAGAAGACTAGGCATCTCATTATTTTCTAGTACTTCTTCAAAATCAAGGAAAATCCTCCCAAGTTTAATTAAAGAAGTAGAAAATGAGGAAAGTCATGAGCCAAGGCATGCCACCTAGAATGGGTAGGTAGACACTTAAAGACACAGACAGGCATAACGAGAAGCAAAGACAACTCAAGTTTCAGATTAAAACACCCACATATTCCAAGTAAATAAGCAAAATGTCTTAAAAGCAAATTTTTCTATCTTCACACCAATTCTCCCAGACAAAACAGAAAAATCTATGCAGTTAAATGATTTCTCATCTATTTCAGTGAATTTTAGAGACAGTAGGGCAAATGCTGGTTGTAGGTATTAAGTCAGCGGTAAACTGAAATGACACCTTTGGTTTAAATCTAGAGGGGTGAAACAAGAAATTGTTAACTATGGAGAATAAACTTTGTAACAATATAGTACAAAAATACTGTGATAACAGCTTACCTTTTCTTCAATCCAGGACTCGATTGAAGTTTTATTTGTCAAAATGATTTTCATCTAAAATAAAAGCATTACGTGAAATTGATTTTCTGTAGAAATACATCAGCTAGGTAAAGAAAACTCCATTTAACAAACTGTATTTGCTTTAAAAAACAAAGCAACTTTTATAGGCTTAACTGAAACATATAAAACATTCAAAATTAAGATTCAGCATAGTTACATGCTAATGCTATCCTCTAAAATGATACACTTAGACAGTATTACACCGTATTTCAGTTTTGTCTTAAAATGTGTATTTTTGTTCCCTTCCAAAGATCTCAAATATTTAACATAATGTACCAGGCATGTTTATACCTATTTTCAGGGATAGGGGAATGTACTCCTGAAATACCAAGTATTTTGCCTTTTCCAGAGACTTTATAAAAAGCCCATCTCATATTTTCTTAGTTCATTAGATTTTCACCTCCAAGTTCTCCCATGAAAAATAAAATTGTGGTAACAACAAAGGAACTGGGACAAAGCAACATAAAACCCTGGAAAAGTTACACATCAACATAAGCTCTAAACAACTGCTCCTATCTCAATCCTGAATTCTGTTTCTACTCCAAAACTTCCATCTTTTAACTTCTCTAACAGAAGCCATAAACTTACCTGGATAATAAACAGCATACCAACAGCAATAGTTGTTCCTAATGCCAGTCCTAAGGCAAATAAAGATGCAGCAAATGCAGACAGTCCAAAGGGAATAATGGGTCGAGGGTCTCTTTTGGCTGCACTCATGTCAATCTTTACAGAACTCCACCCAAAAGATATCTGCAAAGGGAAAATATAATTCAGCTCTAGAACATTCTGACCGCTGAAACAAAACAAGTTACCAATCGGAAGTCTGGCTCTGAAGGTAACTGTCCAACTTCTGATGGGTTTATAATACAAGAGGAGTAATTGGGGGGAGGCGGGGAAAACTATTCAAAAGACTTCCTCTTCAGAAATACGTTCTCTGCTAGATGTAGGTCTTCTCTAGATGGAAAGCTAAACCAAAATCGCCATCTTGCAAGCTCCACAAGTTAGGCCCAAAAATCAGCAAAGAAAAAAATGCGGACTCTGGCACACTAATAAGAACGCATTCACCAGTTTCAGACAGAAAATGCTTGCATAGCACTGCACCCATTTTCAACGGAAATGCTACAGGTCTTCCTCTGAAAGCTTTAGCAGGTAGCTGTTCTCAACATTAGCACTCTGCAAATACAACACGCAGCTTTCATCTGTTACACTCAGTTAATGTTTTCAAGCTCTTCAGTGCAACCACAAAGGCTGAAATCAAAGCTCATAATCTTAACCATGGATCTGAGATAAGGAATGTATTCCAGAACAAGCTTTGCTCGTTGTTGTTGCAGTTAATTTTTTTCATTTAAAAACAAATCCAACATGACTTATTTTTAGTTCCAAAAACAATGTATTTTTTTTCCCCTCCCTGAAGAATTGGATACAATTCTAAAAAAGTGGCAAGGAAAAGGGAATAAATAGCATCTAACTTGTGTGTGGAAACAAATAGCATCTAGTTTCTGTGCCAGCCAAAACACAGCCTGTCTATATAAAGTCCTACTCAGAAACTGTCTTCAGTCAATGCAAAGCTCGAGGAAATTCCCAGTGATTATGGCAAGCAACAGGAAAAAAAGAAGCAAAGAAAATAGAAACAACTTTCTCTGAATCCTCCTCCAATTATGAACAGGCAGAGAGCAGAATAGAGAATACACGTTGAAAGAGTAACAGGAATTCCACAAGCTTCTTCTCAGGAAACCAAATTGTCTGGTACTTCCAGAGGTAAATCACTCATCTGTTTTAAACAATATTTTAATAATTTAATTATGTTTTCTTACTCTGTTGTAAAGCTGAGTGTACATAGTCATAACAAATATGAAAGAAGCGTGAATGCATCCCAGTGGAGCTAAGAGGAGAAACAGAGTGAAAGATGCATGATTCTGGTATCCACAACAGTTGTTGATCCAAGGACAATGGTGATCCATCTTCAGGACACATCTGTGAATAATAAATATTGATTAATATAAAGGATATATATGATATTTTTCCACAAGCTCAAAGAAACAGCTAACTTTCTACTACTCAACCTCCATTCATTTAAACCCATCAATTTCCGACAGATCAACACAGTAGATTTTTTGTTACTATTCAGAATGATATTTCATGTGGTAGAGTGAAAGAAAGCAAAATAAAAAGTACTCCCTAATTATTCCTCCTCCTCTTTACTCAAACTTGCTAGTCACTCATAAACACCACATTCCAGAGCCAGGAGACAGATGCCTAGACTGGAACATGTAAGAACTATCAACACAATTAAGCACTAATATTATTGCCTGTTTTTTTTTCCAAATAAGCACACCAGGAAAATATAGGAAGTATCAAATCCCAGGTGAACCGCTTGCAGAAAGAACATATAAAGATACACAGACGTAAGTGTGTTAATACCTCTTTCTCTTCAGTAGTTGACTCTCTGAAAGCTTCATAAATTGCTAAGTATTGACCTTACACAAATACCAGCTCCTTCGAAAAGATAAGTTAATTGTTTTGGAACTACTGACGTCATTATCTTTTAAGCTAGTCCATTCCCAATAGGAAGTTCAGTTTCTCCTTTTTAAAGAATTAATTCTTCTTCATGACCATATGCTCAACTGCCACTGCACAAGTTCTTGAACGTGCAATCGTAATTATCAGCACAAGTGTTCCTGGACAAGTTCCTAGCTCTTAGCCAGAAACCTCACCCCGTTCAGGTGGGCCACAAAGTCACTCCATTCACACACTGAAACTTGCCATAGCATAGAAGGCTGGTGGTTTAAGTTATGCACTTCACTGCAACAGGCTAGAAATACACGTGGAATGAGTTACTTCAGCCAGAGTTGAGGGGGCAGAAAATTCTTAAAGCATATCAGTGAAGTGATTTGGAGAATGTGCTGCAGTTTCTTCCGTTTTATTTGACAAAAGCTAAATTATTTAAAGAACTTGCTTTTGCAAAGACAATCATCAGAATCTGCTGCCATTTTCTAAGTCCTCAGTGTAAAGATTTTCACTGAAGGAAAGGAGTCTAATTTTAAATCTCAGGATGATGCAGCGAAATTACAGCACTGCTCTACAGTTTCAGTCTCTATTTCCTAAAAGCACACTGACTGCGCATCTTGTGTTTATAGAAATAACAAATGAATGCGTATGTTGCAATATCCTGTTACCACATTATCTAATAGTCCTTCAGAGAAGGGCCTGTCCAGTAAACCCAAGATAAATGCAACTACAGTCTGGACTGCAGACATCTGAAGTGGCTTGCTTTTTTTCCAAGCTGCACTAAATTACAGTGCAGCTATTTACAATAAAAGCATCCTTTAGCTCAAAGCAAGTCTGTTGGAAGACTTAACACAAAACAAGGTGCAAACTTTTTAAGTTGACCCAAAAGGCTTATTAGTTCACTTAACCTGCGGTCAGCAGGTTTTTGGGAAAAAAAAACCCAACAAAACAAAACCCACAAACAAATAACCCACCCCCCACAGACCACCACCACCCCCGCAC